TATTTTTGGAACTAAGTTTTGAAAATGTGAGTCTTGTCTTGAAACAGCTAAGAAAAGTAAATAAATGAAACAATCTCTGCCAACAATCTCTCACCCTCAAGGATGTGAGGAAAGAGTATTTTTATGAAAGGGAACCAGAAGGATGGTGCTAACTGGCTGATAGATAACGCAAATAGGAATTCATTATCCAACAATTACTCAGCAGAATAACAGATATAATGGAGGCCCAGGATTGAATGAGGAGAGTCATACACAGGTCATAACACAGGATGAAAGTAATGAATCTTTGAACACCCAGTTTTCTCTCAATTTGTTTCCTGCTGAGAAAGCTCGAATGTCAATCTGTCCAAAACCAGACGTTGTGGTAACCCCAAGTTCAGGTGAAGCTGGATCAGCGGGTCTTGGTGAAATTGCATAGACATGCAGCAACTCAGGCTGTCACAGATGTGGAGATGGTCTGCCAGGCCTGGGAGTAATAGGCTTTGGCCCAGATGAGATGAGAATTGCTTTGTTTATCTATTGCTGTTTTTGTTTTTTGTTTTTTTAACCCACAAAACTTAGTGGCTTAAAACAAATCCAGAATTTCTGAATTTTTCATGAGTCTGAGGGCTGAACCGGCTCCACTGGGCAGCCTTCCTGATTCACATGCAGTCACGAGGCTGCCTTCATCTGGGAGCTTGGCTCAGGATGACAGTCCAAGGTGGCATCCTTCAGCGTCTCTCTCCATGCAGCCTATCAATAGTCAAGACCACCTGAGCAATATCACAATACAGCAGATGGCTTCAATGCATAGGCACCAGTGGGGACCCTGCTTACATCCTATGTGCTAAGGCTTCTTCAGCCAAAGCAAGTCACATTACCCATGCCAGGGTCAATGCAGGAGGTGATATACAGGTTGTGACTCTTCTGGGCTATAGTTAATTGGGGCCCTCAATCTAGCAGTCTACCACAGGGACCAGGACCAGGAAACAGGGGTGGGATAAGGGTGTGAAAGTGGGGGATATAGGGCGGAGGTCACAAGAGGATCCTGGCCACCCCCCAAGACAATAGCATAATTGAAGTTAGAAGTGGGGACATGGAGATTGAGGTGGAGAGATGAACAGAGGGACTGTGGCTGGTCAAAAGGTCTACAGCATGGGCAGAAGGGCAGAGTAAAACCCCAAGAAACCAGGTAGGAGGTGGCAGGCAGAAACTAAGCAAGGATGGGGGAAAATGCTGACTTTTCATAAAGAGAAAGACTGGGAAGAAAACACAAATCCCTGGTGCCATTTTTGTTTTTTAAATGAGGGAGCTTAGATTTTTCAATGAGCTCCTATGATACTCTTTCTAGGGCAGAAGGGATGATGCCTTGGGTGGTGAGGGGCTCCCTGGAGCCCTCCCTCGGTCCTGCCACTCCTCACTCCCATCTTTCCTCGTTCTCCGGCCCCTCCCTTCTCTGTCCCAAACTTTGGCTCAGGTGTTCCAACTTGGAAGATATGTTTTTCATGTAGTTTAGGCCAATTCTACTTTTATATATGTTGTAAATGTTTGTAAAAAGTAGAATATGAGTAATTTAACCAGTAGACTTACATCGTTAAGAGGGGAGAAATCTCACCGTGGTTTACAAACTCTCGTGTGATTCTCTGACCTCATCCTCTGCCTGCCCCCACCCCCTACCTACAGTCATCGTAGCCACACTGGCCAATTGTTCTAAACGGGGCGTTTGACCTGCCATACAGCCCCAGTCTGGGAACCTCTTCCCCCACATGCATACACAGCGCCCCATGGTTTCAGATCTTTGCTAATGTGTAATCCCACTGATTATTTCCCTAGCCGTTTTCCTGTCATTATTTAAAATTGTAACCTACCCTTGCTCAGCGCATCACCATTCTTCTTCTGCACTGTTTTCCTAGAGAGCTCTCACACCATGTAACACTATGTATATTTATTTGTTTGTTGTTGTTGTTGTTTGTCTGATTTATTTTGCATCTTTCCGCAATCCCAGGGTGATACTAACATGCAGTCAGGTTCACAAGGAGCAGGTTTAGGGTGCAGGCTTCAGTTACTCAGAGCCCTATTCCAGTTCTTCCTTGCAGCTGAGAGGACCCATGACCTCGGGCAGTTCCTTAATTTCTGAAAACCTCATCTGTAAAATGCAAGTCATGAAAGTTCTTCTTATCTACTAGGCTCCTGTGAAGATTACATGAGACTTGCAAGCATGGAGCTCAAGCTCATGGTGCCTGGCCCTGGTGAGTGCTGAGCGAACAAAAGGGAGATTTGGGTCTCCCATTCTGTGCTGGTTGTGTCGGCCCTTCTTGAGAGCAGCATGTGGGGCCAAGCACACCTGCTGCAGTGACTGTCCCTTTTCTGTCGGAAGAGATTGTTCGGGTTGATTAGCAAAGCCTCTGCTTATTCTTTTAGAGCCCAGTCTCTCCTGCTGTCAACAAACTCGTAATTGTTCATTAGATTGCATTGATTTCTTAGAGCAAAGTAAAGAATATTGAAATCGTAGTTTCCAAAGGCTTCTGGCTAGGTAACACCAACAGGAGACAATGGATGCTATGAGGTTCCTTTTGATACACATTAATTATATTTGAGTTTCTCATTTGACAATCATTTGAGGCCGGGCGAGGTGACTCACACCTGTAATCCTATCGTAGCACTTTAGGAGGCCAAGGTGGGTGGATCATGAGGTCAGGAGTTTGAGACCAGCCTGGACAACATAGTAAAATGCTGTCTACAAAAAATACAAAAATGAGCTAAGTGTGGTGGCGTTGGCCTGTAATCCCAGCTAATTGGGAGGCTGAGGCACGAGAATGGCTTGAACCCAGGAGGCGGATGTTGCAGTGAGCCGAGATTGTGCCACTGCACTCCAGCCTGGCAACAGAGCAAGACTCCATCTCAAAAAGAAAGAAGAAAGAAAGAAAGAAAGAAAGTCATTTGAAAGAAGTATATCAAAGATTTTATGGCTGGGTGCAGTGGCTCATGCCTGTAACCCCAGCACTCTGGGAGTCTGAGGCAGGTAGATCACCTGAGGTCAGGAGATCGAGACCAGCCTGGTCAACATAGCGAAACCCCATCTCTACTAAAAATACAAAAAAATTAGCCAGGCATGACATTCACTCAATGCAACTGACTTGACTTGCTGTCTTGAACCTCGGTATCTAGAGCAGGTGGCAAGTACCTGTAATTTCAGCTATTCAGGAAGCTGAGGCAGGAGAATCACTTGAACCCAGGAGGCGGAGGTTGCAGTGAGCCAAGATTGTGCCACTATACTCCAGCCTGGATGACAGAGTCTGTCTCAAAATAAAAAAGCTCTTCTTTTTTCAAACGTTCTTTCCAGCGGAGAGAGCATTGCAGCAAATCACCCAAGACTATGGCGCTAGGCCCCTCCCTTCCTCAGGACCTTCCCGGTTGTCCAAGGAGCATTTCTAGGATCTCATGATGCTGTCAGCTATTTTGTTTATTTCGGAACATCTTCTCAGGGAGCCTTATATTAAAGTGAATTTTCAGTAGAAACAATTTCTCTTTAGCTTATCCTTCCAGGAAAGATCCAATAGCAGTAAAAGAGAAAGTATTTTAAAACCGTTTATTCATTACTCATTTAAAACATGAAAGTATTTGTGGAGCTCTGCTGACATGGAGGAGCCAAGGCTGCACATCTGGCCTTCACGGAGTTTATGATCTGCTGGAGGGTTTCACCATGTTGACCAGGACGGTCTTGATCTCATAACCTCGTGATCCACCCACCTTGGCCTCCCAAAGTGCTGGGATTATAGGCGTGAAATTAATTCTTTAAGCAATCAGGAGCCATTGGAACATTTTGAACAAAGTCAGGTCATGATTAGATCTGTATTTAAGAAAAATCATGGACAGGTGCAGTGGCTCACATCTGTACTCCCAGCACTTTGGGAGGCTGAGGCAGGCAGATCATCACCTAAGGTCAGGAGTTCAAGAGCAGCCTGGCCAACTTAGTGAAACCCTGTCTCTACTAAAAATATTTTTTAAATTATCTGGGTCTGGTGGCGGGTGCCTGTAATCCCAGTTACTTGGGAGGCTGAGGCAAGAGAATTGCTTGAACCCAGGAGGTGGAAGTTGCAATGAGCTAAGATCATGCCACTTGCACTCCAACCTGGGTGACAGAGTGATTCCATCTCAAAAAAATAAAAAAGAGAAAAAAAGAAAAGAAAGATCACTCTGAGACAGGTCTTGACCAGGCAGCATAGTTGGCATTATATGGTTAGGCATTTTAGAGATGATGTTGGTGAATTTCCAGGACAGCAGTTGTGGGAATCTGTAAAAAAAAAAAAAAAAACAGATCTTGATGTAGAAAATATGGTTGTCTGTTTTGCCCTGACCTTGACCTTTGCTCATTTATCTACTGGGATTTGATCAGACCCATTCTCGCCTCTTCTTTGCTCTGCCACCACCAAGGGTACTGGTCCTGGCCCCAGGCACTCAGCTCTTCCTTTCCATGAGCTCCCTGCTCTAGATACTGAGGCTCAAAACCCATTGAGTGAATGTCATGCCTGAGGAATGGTATGGATGCTGTGATGCACTGCCCAGATGCCCATCCACGACTGAAGGACTACGCCTCTTGCTGCTGAGGGTGCTGCTGGCCCACAACTCTCAGCTGTCAGTCTAACTTCACACACAGACAGTTCAGGAGAGTCATCCCATCTTCAGAATTCTAAGTCAGGTCGAACGAGACTTCCTTTGAGATTGTACTGCAGTGCATCTTCCCCCTCTGCTCAATCCTGCTGCCAACCCTTCTCTTCCAGAGGCACTGACCCCCAAAATATTCCTTATAAACCTCCTGCATGTGAACCTTCATTGCACAATGTGCTTCCTAGGAACTCCCCTGAAACGGAACCAGACTCAAGGATTAGAAGATAGTGTGAGTCGTCACACAATGACTGTGTTGTCTGAGATGAGCCTCAGGGCTCCCCTCAAGGGTTGGGGCCAGGACTCTATGAGGCTTTCAATGATTTTTGATTCAGATAATTGTCCGACCTACCCTCTGCGGGAAGACTGGGCTCATTGGGAAAGAAACCGGACCGCAGGCTAGAGGAAATTCCTTAAGTTCAGGCTTTATTGAGAGGAAAGAGCCTCCGGGCGGGCCAGCCGGGACGAAAAGGAAAAATGGCCGCGCTGCTCAGAGGGGCAGGGTTGTTTTATAGGGGGCTGAAGGGCTGGGGGGTGGGGAAGCCAAAAGCCGAGGTGGTGGGCAACTGTTGGTCAGTTTGAACTGCTGGGCGGGAAGCTGGGCGGCGGGAGGGCTAGGACCGGTATGTAAAGTGAGAGATAAGGGAGCCTCTTTGTGGGGGAGGGAAAGAGAGAGAGATTTTGCGGTAGGGGCAGAGTTTTCCAAACATTCCCGACTCCTTAAAGAAAAGAAAAAGAGGGGGTCAGGGGCGTCGGTTGTCTCTCTAGCTACTTCCTGCTGACAAGGGTCGACGGGGGGTTCTGAAGAGGTCTCTTTTCTTAACGAGCCTGGATGTTCGGGGAGAGGTCTGTTTCTTGCACTCGTTCAGGGTAGGGTTGGAGCAGCATCTGGTGGATGGTGACTCGAGTCAGTTCTTGAAAGCGCCGCTATAGGAACTGTAGAAAGCAAGGAGCAATAAGTAAGATTAGGCAAACGGCTACTAGGGGCCCAAGCAACGGGGACAAGAGGGTATACATAGAGGAAGACCACCACGCCGTGGCTTCAGCCGAGAACTTCTGACTCTGCAGGTTAGTTTTGAGTTTCTGGAGGCTCTCGATTTGGGTTTCTACTAGGCCGGATTCATTGATGTAGTAACAGCACTCTTCCTGTAGGAAGATACAGGTCCCTCCTCGTTCAGCAGTGAGCAGGTCCAGGGCTCTTCGGTTCTGCAAGGCAACTTGGGCAACTGAGGTGATCTGTCGTTGGAGTGATGCTAAAGACTCAGTAGAGTCATCAATAGCCGCTTGGAGTTGTGAGGTCAGTCGGGCTATGGCCAGGTGAGAGTGGACTAGTGCCCCTCCTCCTAATCCTGAGTAAAGTAGGGGAGGTAGCTGTCTAGAGGAGTAGTCTCTGGCGGTGGGGGAGTTGAAAGCAGGAAGGGGCAACCATACAGCAGCTCAAATGGGCTAAGCTGTGACGGGCCCCGGGGGCTTGCTCTTAACCTGGTGAGGGCAATAGGAAGCAAGGTTACCCAGGATTGGCGGAGCTCAAGCATGAGCTTGGTCAGATGCTCCTTTATTAGGCCATTGGCCCGTTCCACCTTACCAGAGGACTGAGGATGGTAGGCGGCGTGTAGCTTCCACTGGATTCCTAGAGAGGTAGAGACAGCATTAGTAACCTTGGAGACAAAGGCTGGGCCGTTGTCTGACTGGTGGCCGGGAGTCCAAAGCATGGGATGACGTCTTGAATGAGATGAGTGGCTACCATCCCTGCAGACTCAGAGGCTGTGGGGTCAGACGGGTTGTTAGTGTCCCAGACCTGAGGGTGGACTCCGGGGAGTAGTTCGGCTAGGGCTTTTTGGGGTTTGGTATCTGAGGTGAGGGCTAGGAGAAAGAGGCTGTGTGGGTTGGCGGTGGGGAAGGTTATGACGTCCTTCAGCTTTGAAAGGATGTCTCACCCCAGAAGGGGAACTGGGCAGGTGGGGATTACTAAAAAGGAGTGGGTGAAGGGAGTGGAGTTATATGAGCACATGAGTGGTGGGGTTTGATAGGGGATACTCAGGGTCCCATTGATTCCCATGACTAAGACCTGGGAAGGGGTGAGATGGCCAGAATAAGAAGGAAGAGCGGAGTAGGTAGCCCCCATGTCTTGTGACCCTAGGCTCGGCGAGGGTAACCGGAGTCGGAAAGCCAGGGCCCCGCTAGTCATCTAGCAGCCCTAGTAGACTGGGGAATGGAGCTCCCTCGGAGGTCGGCTCCTGGCAAGCAGGCTCCTCCCTACTGAGGGTGACCGCCGGCTGCGTAACGCCAGTGTGTCTGTTTTGAGGAACCGGCACCCTGGGGAAGCTGGGGCAGTCTGACTTCCAGTGTCCCGGGAGCCGACAGATAGGGCAAGGCTTAGTTGGTGGCCATGGTTGTGGACAGGCTCGGGACCAGTGTCCTTCCTTTCCACATTTGAAACATGCCCCTGGAGGGGCATGGGTTTCGGCCTTGGGCTTCTGGTTCCCTGCCAGCCTTAGAGCCACCACTAGGGCTTGGGTCTGGAGGGCAGCCTTCTGCTTCATGCGAGTTTGGCGGGCAGCCTCAGCCGCATCTTCCCTGGCATTGAATACTTTAAAGGCCATTTTTACCAGGTCTTGGATGGGAGTCTCTGGCCCCTCTTCTGCTTTCTTTAGTTTCTTTCTTATGTCGGGTGCTGATTGGGAGATAAAATGGGAGGCTAATACAGTGGCCCCATTTTGGGAGGCTGGATCTAGTTGAGTGTACCGGACTAGGGCTTCTTATACTTGAGTGAGGTATTGGAATTCTTTAATATAGGTGGATGGGTTGGCTGAGAAGGATCCTAAACGTTTCTCAATTTGGGACAGGTCTTGGAGTGAGAAAGGAACATGGACCCTGATTAAACCTTCTGCGCCTGCTACTTCACGGAGTGGGGCCAGGATAGCTGGCTGGTGAGAGCGGGTGTGGGCCGCCACCAGAGAGGCAAGAGGAAGTGAGGCCTCTGAGGGAGGGGGCTCGGAGGGAGTAGAGGAAGAGCGAGGCATGGCCTCTGAGGTAGGAGGTGCAGAGGGAGTGGGGGAAGGGCGTGCCGTTGATGGCGAGTGGTTGCTGAGATTGGCAGGAGAGGACAGATGTTCAGGCAGATCCTCTGGTGAGGAGTAGGGAGGGGGAAAGGTAGTGGAGGAAGATTTATGGGGGGTTCGAGATAAGAGGATTTGGTAGGTGGAGCAGGAAGAACATAGGTTGGGGTGGGTACGGAGGTCCCAAAAAGCCTGGACGTAAGGAATTTCATTGTCCTTGCCCATGCGGCGACAAAAATCGTCGAGATCTCGGAGGGTGTTGAAATCAAAAGTGCCAGTCGGGGGCCAATGTGACTGGTTACCGAGTTTGTATTGGGGCCAAGCCACCTGAGACAGGAAGATAAGCTTTTTCTTTCTGAGGGTTTGGGAATATCCCAATTTGGTAAAATTCGCAGCAAGCACCCAAGGGGGGTGCTCAGAGGTATTTTGGACTCCGAATTTCCCATGGCAGGCGCAGCTACAGACTCTCCGGCGCGGATGGGCAGATGCAACGAAAAGGCGTCCCCGTTCGTTGCAAATTCCCCGGAGTACAATTAAGTACGGAAAGGGAAGCGGTCAGAGGGGCGTCCCCCGTCTGGCGGCTGTCCCTCGGAAGGCTCCTGGAGCCGGAACGGAAGACTACCTTGGCTCGGCCGAGACTAGGCAAGGAGTCCGTGCGGAACGCCGGAGAGGGAGCAACTGCACCGTGCCGTAGGAAGAGGAGACGGGAAGCGGGGGAAGGCAAAGCAAGAAAAACTTGGCTTACCTTAATCGGAACGTGGAGGTGGCAGGGCCAGTGTTGGGTAGGTCGGGGAGGGGGGCCGTGGCCGGGCCAACGGCCTCAGCTCCCGTCCCGGGTTTCCGGCACCATTTGTCCGACCTACCCTCTGCGGGAAGACTGGGCTCATTGGGAAAGAAACCGGACCGCAGGCTAGAGGAAATTCCTTAAGTTCAGGCTTTATTGAGAGGAAAGAGCCTCCGGGCGGGCCAGCCGGGACGAAAAGGAAAAATGGCCGCGCTGCTCAGAGGGGCAGGGTTGTTTTATAGGGGGCTGAAGGGCTGGGGGGTGGGGAAGCCAAAAGCCGAGGTGGTGGGCAACTGTTGGTCAGTTTGAACTGCTGGGCGGGAAGCTGGGCGGCGGGAGGGCTAGGACCGGTATGTAAAGTGAGAGATAAGGGAGCCTCTTTGTGGGGGAGGGAAAGAGAGAGAGATTTTGCGGTAGGGGCAGAGTTTTCCAAACAATAATGGATGGAACTTTCTCTCTAAATGTTTTTAAAGCTCATGCAATTGTCAGTTATTATTATTTATAGTTGGAAGGAAGAACAAAGATAACCTCAATGGAAAACTGAAAAATGAGACTGGATTCAGAGTTGGAGACCCTGGAGAGCAGAGAGGGGAGGGGAGAGGAGGTCACAGTTGCTCAGAGGGGACATATGAAGGTGAGAAGGAGGCTGGGTGCGGTGGCTCAAGCCTGTAATCCCAGCACTTTGGGAGGCCGAGGCAGGCGGATCACGATTTCAAGAGATCAAGACCATCCTGGCCAATATGGTGAAACCCTGTCTCTACTAAAAATACAAAAATTAGCTGGGCATGGTGGTGAGCACCTGTAGTCCCAGCTACTCTTGAGGCTGAGGCAGGAGAATTGCTTGAACCTGGGAGGCAGAGGTTGCAGTGAGCCGAGATTGTGCCACTGCACTCCAGCCTAGTGCCTGGCGACAGAGTGAGACTCTGTCTCAAAAAAAAAAAAAAAAAAAATGAAGAAGATGAGAAGGAGACTAATACTCAGAAATGAGTCATCAAGAGTATGCCAGGCTTCAGAAATGTCAAGTGGGTTAAGCAATGATGGAAAGTGTCAGATTTAAGAGCAATGCACACACTCCATTTTCTAGGAATGTTTGACTGCTCATCAGTAGTCTATTTAGAGAAGCATGGGGAAGGAACATATCTGTCTCCTTTTCCGCTATGGACCCTGTGCCTAAGAAGCTGCTGGTACTCAGGGAGCACCTAGCGACTATTTATTATTGCCGAATAATTTAGGTCTTTGAAAGCAAAGTGAATAGTTTATCATCACTAATGGACAATTGTTGAAGTAGTATGTTGGAAAATTTGTCTGCTACTGACCTCTGCCACACACCTGTGAACACACACACCTACCTATCCATGCTCTATCCAGCCTGGTTGCTGAGTACAAACAGAATTACTTCCCTGGGATCTTGGAAATTGTTTTTCCTATATACACATAACCTAGGAGGGAATCTCTAAGCCCATCCCTGTACTTCTTTAAGGCCCCTATATCTCTTTGAACATTGATCGTTCCTGAAAGAGTAAGCAAATGAACCACTCATAAGATGACATGCTTCTGAATCTAATCAGGAAAGGGTAAACACATCTTATAGAATTAGATGAAAGATCTAAACACACATTTTGAGGGATAGTGAAGGCAGATGAATTGTTTCCAAATAAATCAGCCCCCTTTGAAGTAGAGTACATCAAAGCAACTTCTTCTTGCCTTTGGGAATGTGGGCTTCTTATAAATGTACATGCGCACTTGGATGGGCGAGCAGGCTGTAATTCCTCCCTCCCAATTTGACCTAATCGCAGTGATGTTTAGTGCATCACTCCACAGTGATTTGTCTGTCTCTCCACTAGACTATTAATTTTTTGAGGATAGGGACCTTTTCTTTAATCTCTGATTCCCCAGCACATTGCAAATGACCTGTTGCTTGGGAGACACTAAAAGGATACTGAAGGAAGGGAGAAGAGCAAAGAGAGGGAGAGAAGAATGAAATGGAGTCCAGTTAGACTCATGACGTTCATTCAGAGCTGTCAAAACACTCAATTCCTGTTGGCTTTCAGGGAGCTTCCTGACTCCCAGAGCATTGTGGGATAGTGAGAAACAGGTAAAACTTGGAATCAGGAGACTTGGGTTTGTGTCCTAGTTCTGCCGTTTCATGCATGTATGTCCTTAGATGAGGCATGTAACCCCCGAGCCTCAATATCATCTTCTGTAGATTGAGAATTATTATGTCTACCTTAAAGAGATTTTGAGTGATTAACTGAAATAAAATATGTGAAAGCATTCAGCAATTTTTTTTTTTTTTTTTTTTTTTTGAGACAGAGTCTCACTCTGTCACCCAAGCTGGAGTACAGTGGTACAATCTCAGCTCACTGCAACCTCCGCCTCCCAGGTTCAAGTAATTCTCCTGCCTCAGCCTCCTGAGTAGCTGGGAGTACAGGTGTGAACCAGCATACCCAGCTAATTTTTGTATATTTAGTAGAGATGGGGTTCATCATCATGTTGAACAGGCTGGTCTCAAACTCACAAACTCAGGTGATCTGCCCACCTCGGCCTCCCAAAGTGCTGGGATTATATGCATGAGCCACCGCACCCAGCAAGCATGCTGCAACATTTTTAATGCCATTTAATTGTTTCCTACCATTGCTGCTACCCTGAAATCAGAGCCATCTTCCACTGACCTCTCCTGTTTAACTTGGCAAAATATTGTTTTTGATAAAATATTTTTAAGAAAAAAGATCTGAGATTAAATTTATTTTCTCTTCTTATTCTCAGGATTTTGATATAGTGTATTGTATGGTTATCGTTTTTTAAAAACTATCTGAGAGCAACAGTGATTCTAACCAAAGGTTTACTATTGTGCTCCAGTTAAATCGGAATCACTTGAGAACTTTCTAAAATACAGATTCTCAAGTCCCAATCCCAGGGACTTCAATTCAATTGTCCTTGAGTGGGGATAGGGAAACTTGTAGCTTAAAATGCCGCCCAGCTGAGTCTGATAAGCCAGGCTAGGAAACCTTGGCCAGGCCCTTTTTCCATTGAAAACTGTCAGCACCTGTAATCCCAGCACCTTGGGAGGCTAAGGTGGGTGGATCACTTGAGATCAGGAGTTTGAGAACAGCCCGGCCAACATGGTGAAACCCCGTCTCTACTGAAACTACAAAAAAATTAGCCAGGTGTGGTGGTGGGCACCTGTAATCCTAGCTACTCGGGAGGCTGAGGCAGGAGAATTGCTTGAACCTGGGAGGCGGAGGTTGCAGTGAGACGAGATCATGCCACTGCACTCAAGCCTGGGAGACAGAGTGAGACTCCATCTCAAATACAAACAAACAAAAAAGAAAAAACCTGTTAGAGTAGCTCCAAGTTCAGGCAAGAGAGTTTATGACTATGCCCCTCCTAGCTGGCCGATGGCCAGCTGAATAAACGAGGGTTCATGGCATTCCAACTTGTTGTTTGAAGCTAGTAATGTTATAGTAGAAATGCCAGCCTCAGCCTCAGCATGCCATTTCTGTAACAAATTCACAGGTAGGCATGTGCACCTAAAATCAACGCTCTGGGGCTAGAGTGGGAAATACAGGATTAGTAGGGCTCTTAGAAAAAGCATCTTGATCTGTTTTGTCATATTTCCTCAGCTTCAGGCGAAAACAGCGTAAGGCGTGCCTCTGTCTATTTTACAGGCATTTGTTTTTATTATTATTATTTATTTCACCATTTTTTAGAGACAGGGTCTCACTCCGTCACCCAGGCTGGAGTCCGATGGTGTGATCGTAGTTCACTTCAGTCTCTAACTCCTGGGCTCAAGCAATTCTCCTGCCTCAGCCTCCTGAGTAGCTGGGACTAGAGGCATGCACCACCATACCAGGCATACTGGGATATTTTGACCTGAAAATGAGTGTTTTGGAAAAACTCCTCTGCCTCATCATGTTTGGGCTCAGGGTATCTCCAGAGTTACCATTCAGCACAGATCTTGTAAAAATTGAAATTCCACATTTCTGTTCCACTGGGACTCATGTATGGCTGATGGTTAATTGGTACAACCACTTGAGAAGACTGTTGAGTAGTATTTAGCAAAGCTAAACATTTGTATACCCTATTTAGCTCCTGTGCAAATACCTAACAGAAACGTTCAATGTTTACTGAAAGACGTGTACTAGAATGTGCATAGCACTGATGCTAATAGCTCAAAACTAGATTGTCCAAATGACCCTATAGTAGAATGGATAAATAAATTGTAATATATTTACACAGCAGAATACCATACAGAAAAGAAAATGAATGATCTACAATCACATGCAAAATTAGATGAATTGCACAATCATGAGTTTGAATGAAAGAAGCTAGACAGGGAAGTGTCAATAGTGCACTTACATAAAGTACAAAACTGGCAAAACTAACAGGTTGAGATTATGGGTCTGTCAGACGGTGGTTCAGCTTCCAGGAAGACTGTCTTCCAGCATGACCAAAGGTGCCTCTTCGTGCAAGATGGTAACAACAAATCACAGGCACAGTCGCATCGAACGCGCAGGTGAATTGAAAATCCTCATCAATACCTTCAATCAAAAAGCTTGCTCAGATTCTGATACCAAACAAAAACTTGCTTTAGAAATCAATACAGAAGACTCAAGAATCCAGATTTTGTTTCAGAATCAAAGAGCTAGGCATGGACTCCAGAAAAGATGAGAACCAGAGACTTTAGAATCAAGCCAGAGCCATGGGCAAGATCAACCTGGTGCAGAGTTTCAAAGCAGAGAAGCCAGAGGGTGTTGTACTACCTACAGCATCTCTCAATTACGCACTCTCGTCAAGGATTGAGTCCAGGAAACAACTTGCTTAAAAAATTAGTGGTCCAGAGTCAAGAGTTCTAAAATTGAAGATCTAGATTTCATCTCCAGAGAAAAAGGGAACCTGTTGTGTTCTTAGAACAAGAAGACCAGGGGCAAGATTTTTGAGATACTTCAAGGTACAGAAGATACACAGAATGGCACCAGCCTCCCTAGCAACTGTCATTTCTCTAGAGCCAGCACATGATGAAGACAGTCAAGTTCAGTCTATCTGATATTATTAACTTAGGCCCCACGTCTCTCTCATAGCCTTCCTGGGAGATGGTAAAGGACTTGGCCGAGTGCGGTGGCTCATGCTTGCAATCCCAGCGCTCTGGGAGGCTGAAGCAAGGAGATTGCTTGAGCCCAGGAGTTTGAAACCAGCTTGGACATCATAGCAAGACCTTGTCTCTACTACAAAAAAATAAAATAAATGAAAAGGACCGTAGAAGCCAGAGATAGGTACAGGA